CCAAAATTCCCAAAGAATTCCTGAAAAATTCCCAGAAAATCCCTGAAAAATTCTTAAAAAATTCCCCCAAAATTCCCAAAAAATTCCCAAAAAATTCCCAAAAAATTCCCAGAAAATCCCTGGAAAATTTCCTAAAAAATTTCCCCCAAAATTCCCATAAAAACCCCCCAAAATTCCAAAAAAATTCTTGAAAAATTCCCAGAAAATCCCTGGAAAATTCCTAAAAAATTCCCCAAAAATTCCCAGATAATCCCTGGAGAATCCCTAAAAAATTCCAAAAAAAAACCCATAAAAACCCCCAAAAATTCCCAAAAAATTCCTGGAAAATTCCCAGAAAATCCCTGGCGAATTCCTAAAAAATTCCTCTAAAATTCCCATTAAAACCCCCCAAAATTCCCAAAAAATCCTCAAAAAATTCCTGGAAAATTCCTAAAAAATTCCCAAAAAATTCTCAAAAAATTCCTGAAAAATTCCCAGAAAATCCCTGGAAAATTCCTAAAAAATTCCCCAAAAATTCCCAGAAAATCCCTGGAGAATCCCTAAAAAACTCCCCCTAAAATTCCCATAAAAACCCCCCAAAATTCCCAATAAAAATTCCCGAAAAGTCCCCAAATTCCCGGGAAAAGTCCCCAAATTCCCGGGAATTGCCCCAACTCACCAGGAGCCTCACGAGCAGCGCTTGAGGAGACGGAAGATTCCCTGGAAAAGACGGAAAATCGGGATAACCCCTCCCCCACCCCGCGGAATCCGGAATTCCCGAGCTTTTCCCGGGATTTACCGCGGCGCTCCGGGCTTTTTTCCGGAGGCTCTTCCCGGATTTTCCCGGCCAGGAAAGCGAGGCTGCGGCACAGCGGGGTCAGGGCTGGGCTGAAAGGAGCCGGGAGCAGAAATTCCAACAGGAACGGCCACAGAACCTGCCGGAAAATTCCGGAAAATTCATGGGATGGACCTCGGGAATTCCCGGAAAAATCCCAGGAAAATCAGGGAAAATCCACAGAAAAATTCTGGGAAAATCTCTGGAAAATTCCATGAAAATTCCCAGAAAATTCTCAGAAAATTCCCAGAAAATTCCCTGAAAATCCACAGAAAATTCCCGGAAAATCCACAGAAAATTCCTGGGAAAATCTCTGGAAAATTTCTGGAAAATTCCCAGAAAATTCTCCAGAAAATTCCCAGAAAATTCCCTGAAAATCCACAGAAAATTCCTGGGAAAATCCTGGAAAATTCCCTGAAAATTCCCAGAAAATCTCTGGGAAAATCTCTGGAAAATTCCATGAAAATTCCCAGAAAATTCCCTGAAAATTCCAAGGAAAATTCCCTGAAAATCCACAGAAAATTCCCTGAAAATCCACAGAAAATTCCTGGGAAAATCTCTGGAAAATTCCATGAAAATTCCCAGAAAATTCTCCAGAAAATTCCCAGAAAATTCCCTGAAAATCCACAGAAAATTCCTGGGAAAATCCTGGAAAATTCCCTGAAAATCCACAGAAAAATTCTGGGAAAATCTCTGCAAAATTCCATGAAAATTACCAGAAAATTCCCAGATAATTCCCAGATAGTTCCAGGAAAATTCCAGGAAAATCCCCTGAAAATTCCAGGAAAATCTTCAGAAAATTCCCAGAAAAAAACAGAAAAAATCCCAGAAAATTCACAGGAAATTCCTGGAAAATCCCGGAAAAATCCCTGAAAATTCCCTGAAAATCCACAGGAAATTCCTGGGAAAATCTCTGGAAAATTCCTCTAAAATTCCCAGAAAATTCCCAGATAATTCCAGGAAAATTCCATGAAAATTCCCAGAAAAATTCCTAGAAAAATTCCCAGAAAATTCCCAAAAAATCCACAGAAAATTCCTGGAAAATTCCCAGAAAATTCCCAAAAATTGCCCAAAATTCTCCAGAAAATCTCCCCAAAATTCCTGGGAAATCCCCCCAAAAAAAATTCCCAGAAAATTCCTGAAGAACTGAAAATTCCTGGAAAATTCCCCCAAAATTCCCAGAAAATCCCCGGAAAATTCCCAAAAATTCTCCCAAAAATTCCCCCAAAATTCCTCCCCAAAATTCCTGGAAAATCCCCCAAAAATTCCAAAAAATTCCTAAAAATTCTCAGAAAATTCCTGAAAATTCTTTAAAATTCCTGAAAATTCTTAAAAATTCCCCAAAAATTCCCTGGAAATGCTTTAGGATCGGGAATTTTGGGATGGAAATTCCCTCGGGATTGGGAATTTTGGGGTTTTTTGGGATGGAAATTCCCAGAAAATTCCTGGAAAATTCCTAAAAAATTGCCCAAAATTCTCCCAAAAATTCCCAAAAAATTTCCAGGAAATTCCCAGAAAATTCCTGGAAAATTCTCAAAAAAAATCCCAAAAAATTTCCCCAAATTTTCCAGAAGTTTCCTGGAAAATTTCCCCAAAGTTCCTGGAAATTTCCTGGAAAATTCACAAAAAATTCCTGGGAAATTCTCAGAAAATTCCTGAAAAAATTCCCCAAATTCTCCAAAAATTTCCTGGAAAATTTCCCCAAAATTCCTGGAAAATAAAAAAAAAAAAAATCAGAAAATTCCTGAAAAATTCCTGGAAAATTCCCAGAAAAATCCTGGAAAAATCCTGGAATATGCCCGGAAAATTCCTAAAAATTGCCCAAAATTCTCCCAAAAATCAAAAAAAAAATTCCTGAAAATTCCTGGGAAATTCTCAGAAAATTCCCTAAAAATTTCCCCAAATTCTCCCAAAAAATCCTGAAAAAATCCTGGAATATGTCAAAAAAATTCCTAAAAATTGCCCAAAATTCTCCCAAAAATTCCAAAAAATTTCCAGAAAATTCTCAGAAAATTCCTGGAAAATCAAAAAAAAATTCCTGGAAAATTCCAAAAAAAATTACAGAAAATTCCTGGAAAATTCACAAAAAAATTACAGAAAATTCCTGGAAAATTCCCTGGAAATGCTTAAAGATTCTGAAAATTTCCCCGGAAATTCCTGGGGATTGGGGATTTTGGGGTTTTTTGGGATGAGGAATTCCAGGATTTGGGTTTTTTGGGAATTTTTTCCTGGAAAACTGACGTGGCTCATGCTGGGCACGGTGGAGCTGAGCAGGAGCCGGAAATGCCTCGGGATCGGGAATTTTGGGATGGAAATTCCCAGAAAAATCCTGGAAAATTCCTAAAAAATTGCCCAAAATTCTCCCAAAAATTCCAAAAAATTTCCAGAAAATTCCTAAAAAATTTCCTGACAAATTCTCAGAAAATTCCCTAAAAATTTCCCCAAATTCTCAAAAAAAATCCTGAAAAAATCCTGGAATATGTCAAAAAAATTCCTAAAAAATTGCCCAAAATTCTCCCAAAAATTCCAAAAAATTCCCAGAAAATTCCTGGAAAATCCAAAAAAAATTCCCTAAAAATTTCCTGGAAAATTCTCAGAAAATTCAAAAAAAATTTCCCCAAATTCTCTAAAAAAATCCTGAAAAAATCCTGGAATATGTCAAAAAAAATTCCTAAAAATTGCCCAAAATTGTCCCAAAAATTCCCAAAAATTTCCAGAAAATTCCCTAAAAATTTCCCCAAATTCTCTAAAAAAATCCTGAAAAAATCCTGGAATATGTCAAAAAAAATTCCTAAAAATTGCCCAAAATTCTCCCAAAAATTCCAAAAAAATTCCAGAAAATTCCCAGAAAATTTCTGGAAAATCCAAAAAAAATTCCTGGAAAATTCCAAAAAAAATTACAGAAAATTCCTGGAAAATTCACAGAAAATTCCTAAAAATTCCTGAAAAATTCCCCGGAAATTCCTGGGGATTGGGGATTTTGGGGTTTTTTGGGGTGAGGAATTCCAGGATTTGGGTTTTTTGGGAATTTTTTCCCGGAAAACTGACGTGGCTCATGCTGGGCACGGTGGAGCTGAGCAGGAGGAGGGTGCTGACGCTGACGCTCCGGACGCTGCCGCTCGTGGGATCCTCGGAATTTTCCTCCGGAATTCCCGAGGGCTGGGAGGAAAAAAAAGGGGAAATTCCTGAAAAAATGGGGGAAAATGGGGGGGAAAGGGGGAAAAATGGGGAAAAAAATGGGGAAAATGGGGGAAAAATGGGGAAAAATGGGGGAAAAAATGGGGAAAAGGGGAAAAATGGGAAAAAACAGGGAAAAGGGGGGAAAATAGGGAAAAATAAAGGGAAAAGGGGGGAAAATGGGGAAAAAAATAGGGAAAATGGGGAAAATGGGAAAAAATGGGGAAAAGGGGGAAAATTAGGGAAAAATAAAGGGAAAAGGGGAGAAAAAATAGGCAAAAAAATAGGGAAAAGGGGGAAAAATAAGAAAAAAATAGGGAAAAGGTGGAAAAATGGGGAAAAATGGGGAAAAAATGGGGAAAAGGGGGAAAAATGGGGAAAAAAATAAGGAAAAGGTGGAAAATGGGAAAAAAACAGGGAAAAGGGGGGAAAAAATAGGGAAAAAAGGGAAAAGGGGGAAAAATGAGAAAAAAATAGGGAAAAGGGGGGAAAAATGGGAAAAAATGGGGGGAAAATGGGGAAAAAAATAGGGAAAATGGGGGAAAAATAGGGAAAAAATAGGGAAAAAGGGGGAAAATGGGAAAAAATAGGGAAAAGGTGGAAAAATGGGGAAAAATGGGGAAAAAATGGGGAAAAGGGGGAAAAATGGGGAAAAAATGGGGAAAGGGAAAAAATGGGGAAAAAAATAGGGAAAAGGTGGAAAAATGGGGAAAAATGGGGAAAAGGGGGAAAAATAGGGAAAAATAAAGGGAAAAGGGGAGAAAAAATAGGGAAAAAAATAGGGAAAAGGGGGAAAAATAAGAAAAAAATAGGGAAAAGGTGGAAAAATGGGGAAAAATGGGGGAAAAATGGAGAAAAAAATAGGGAAAAGGGGGAAAAATGGGGAAAAAATAGGGAAAAAATGGAGAAAATGGGAAAAAATAGGGAAAAGGTGGAAAAATGGGGAAAAATGGGGAAAAAATGGGGAAAAGGGGGAAAAATGGGGAAAAAAATAAGGAAAAGGGGGGAAAAAATAGGGAAAAAAAGGGAAAAGGGGGGAAAAATGAGAAAAAAAGGGAAAAGGGGGAAAAATGGGAAAAAATGGGGAAAAAATAGGGAAAGGGGGGAAAAAATGGGGAAAAGGGGGAAAAATGGGAAAAAATAGGGAAAAGGGGGAAAAAATGGGAATAAAATAGGGAAAAATGGGAAAAAATGGGGAAAAATGGGAAAAATCGAAGGAAAATGGGAGAAAAAAGAGGAAAAATCAGGAAAATGAAGGGAAAGGAAAGAGAGAAAAATTGGGATAAAAGGGGAAAAGGAGAAAAATGGGAAAAATGGGAAAAAATGGGAGGAAAATGGGAAAAGCAGGAGGGAAATGGGAGAAAAAAGTGGGAAAAGGGGGGAAAATGGGAGAAAAACAAAGGAAAAGAGAGAGGGAAAAACTGGGATAAAAGGAGGAAAGGGGGAAATGGGAAAAATGGGACAAAAATGGGAAAAACGGGAGGGAAATGGGAAAAAATTGGAAAAAATGACAGAAAAATGGTGGAAAAAAGAGAAAAAATGGGAATAATGGGAGGAAAAATGGGAAGATAATGGGAGGAAAATGGGAAAAAATGGGAGGAAAACGGGAAAAAATGGGAAAAATGGGAGGAAAATGGGAAAAAATGGGAGGAAAATGGGAAAAATAGGAGGAAAATGGGAAAAAATGCGAAAAAATGGGAGGAAAACGGGAAAAAAAATGGTGGAAAAAGAGAAAAAATGGGAAAAATAGGAGGAAAATGGGAAAAAATGGGAAAAATGGGAGGGAAAATGGGAAAAATAGGAGGAAAATGAGAAAAAATGGGAGGAAAATGGGAAAAATAGGAGGAAAATGGGAAAAAATGGGAAAAATGTGAGGAAAATGGGAA